GTCTGCAGGGGAGGGAAGCAGTGTGGGCATCATTGGTTGATTGGTGATGTCTGCCTTATTACAAGGGAGGGAAGCAGTGTGGGCATCTTTGGTTGATTGGTGATGTCTGCCTTTTGCAGGGGAGTGAAGCTGTGGGCATCACTGGTTGATTGGTGATGTCTGCCTTGTGCAGGGGAGGGAAGCAGTGTGGGCATCATTGGTTGATTGGTGATGTCTGCCCTGTGCACAGGAGAAGGGGAGGACAAACATCATTGATTGATTGATTGGTGATGTCTGCCTTATTACAGGGGAGGGAAGCAGTATGGGCATCGTTGGTTGATTGGTGATGTCTGCCCTGTGCACAGGAGGAAGAAGGGCAGGACAAACATCATTCATTCATTGATTGGTGATGTCTGCCAGTGTTGTCATGTTGCCCAGGCTGGTCTCGAACTCATAACCTCAGGTGATCCACCTCCCTCAGCCTCCCAAAGCGCTGGGTTTACAGGTGTGAACCACCACGCCCAGGCCAATTCTACAACTTTTTTCTGTTTCCCCATTTCAGATCATTCCAGAACTTTCTTTTTTTTTGACACGGAGTCTTGCTCTGTCGCTAGGCTGGAGTGCAATGGCGCGATCTCGGCTCACTGCAACCTCCGCCTCCTGGGTTCAAGCGATTCTTCCACCTCAGCCTCCCGAGTAGCTGGGATTACAGTCACGCGCCACCACGCCCGGCTAATTTTTTGTATTTTTAGTAGAGACGGGGTTTCATCATGTTGGCCAGGATGGTTTCAATCTCTTGACCTCATGATCCGCCCACCTTGGCCTCCCAAAGTGCTGCGATTACACGCGTGAGCCACGACGCCCGGCCCCAGAACTTTATTTTTATTTTTATTGTTTTTCTGTAGACGAAGTTTTGCTCTTGTCACCCAGACTGGAGGGCAGTGGCGCGATCTTGGCTCACTACAGCCTCTGCCTCCTGGATTTGAGCACTTCTCCTGCCTCAGCCTCCCGAGGAGCTGGGATTACAGGCATGCGCCACCGTGTCCAGCTAAGTGAGTCCCTCCAGCATCTTAGCTTGCTTCGTCAAGGCATGCAGGCTGAGAAGGCAAGAGACAGGCTCTGCTGGCAAAATAGAAGTCAAAATCTCTTACAGCCTAATCGCAGAATGATAGCCCGTTAGTTTGCCATTTTCTATTTGTTAAAATTAAGTCATGAGGCCAAGCACAGTGGCTCAAACCTGTAATCCCAGCACTTTGGGAGGCCAAGGCAAGAGGATCACCTGAGGTCGGAGTTTGAGAGCAGACTGGCCAAAATGGTGAAACCCCGTCTCTACTAAAAATACAAAAATTAGCTGGGCATGGTGGCGCGTGCCTGTAATCCCAGCTACTCGGGAGGCTGAGGCAGGAGAATCGCCTGAACCCAGGAGGCGGAGGTTGTGGTGAGCCGAGATGGCGCATTGGCCGGTAACAAGAGCAAAACTCCGTCTCCCTTGCCTGACCATTTTCAGAGGCCGAGGCAGAGGATCACCTGAGGTCAGTTTGAGAGCCGGCCAAGATGGTGCGTAGCCGGGCGTAGTGGCGCACGCCTGTAGTCCCAGCTACTCCGGAGGCCGGCAGGAAAACCGCTTGAACCGGGAGGCAGAGGTTGCAGTGAGCCGAGATTGTGCCATGGCCCTCCAGCCTGGAAGACAGAGCAAGACTCCGTCTCAAAAAAAAAAAAAAAAAGGAAAGAAAGAAAAGATTGCACAATGGGATGGGACATGGTCCCCCAGCACCTGAGTGAGGAACTTCAGGGGTGCTTTGCGGGGACAGGCCCAGGTGGGTGGAGCGGGTGCTGTCGCCTCTGCTAGAGTTTCTATTGGAACCTGAAGTCAGGGAAGCCAGGGCAGGGCCCGTCCGACTGGCGCCCTCTGGCGGCCGAGCGGAGGGCGGCGGGGTCGACAACCCAAGGGAAGACAGGGAAGGGACTGGGGCGACAGTCTGCAGAAAGAGGGGCGTGGTACTTAGGATGCACAGCAGAGGCTGGGGTCCCCGTCCGTCCCCTGCAGCACCCGTCACTCCTAAACATGTAAACGCACACCCGCATGCAAACGCGTCAGCGGCGCAAACATCTCATTCTCTCTCCTTCTGGGGCCACAAGTCCCAGAGGAAGGTGTGGGTGGGGCTGGGCCCTTCTGAGGCCGAGGGGACTCTGTCCCGGGCCTCTCCTGGCTCCTGGTGGTGGCCGGCGTTCTTGGCTTTCGGAAGCTTCACCTCGGTGTGTTGTGTGTGTGTCTGTGTCCAAATTTCCTTATTTATTTGTTTTGAGACGGAGTTTCGCTCTCGTTACCCAGGCTGGAGTGCAATGGCGTGATCTCGGCTCACCGCAACCTCCGCCTCCTGGGTTCAGGCGATTCTCCTGCCTCAGCCTCCCGAGTAGCTGGGATTACAGGCACGCGCCACCATGCCCAGCTAATTTTTAGTATTTTTAGTAGAGACGGGGTTTCACCATGTTGACCAGGATGGTCTCGATCTCTTGACCTCGTGATCCACCCGCCTCGGCCTCCAAAGTGCTTGGATTACAGGCATGAGCCACCATGCCCGGCGCAAATTTCCTTTTTCCCTTGAGACAGTCTGGCTCTGTCAGCCAGGCTGAAGTGCAGCGGCATGATATTGACTCACTGCAACCTCCACCTCCCGGGTTCAAACGATTCTCCCATCTCAGCCTCCTGAGTAGTTGAGATTACAGGCACCTGCCTGGCTAATTTTGTGTATTTTTAGTAGAGACAGGGTTTCACCATGTTGGCCAGGCTGGTCTTGAACTCCTAAACTCAGATGATCGACCTGCTTTGGTGTCCTGAAGGGCTGGGATTACAGGCATGAACCACTGCACCCGGCCTTTTTTTTTTTTTTTTTTTCTTTTTTTTTTGAGACAGGGTCTCGCTCGGGCACCCAGGCTGTTGTGCAGGTGAGCTGCAGCCTCAACCACCTGGGCTCAAGCAATCCTCCCACCTCAGCCTCCTGAGTAGTTGGGACTATAGGTACATGCCACCATGCCTGGCTAATTTTAATTTTTTTTGTAGAGACAGGGTCTCTGTTGCCCAGGATGGTCCTGAACTCCTGAGCTCAAGCGATCCTCCTACCTTAGCCTCCCAAATTGTGGGAATTACAGGCATGAGACACTGGGCCCAGCCCACATTTCACATTTCCCCTTTTATATGAAGGAGACCAGTCACATTGGATCAGTGCCCACCGTACCCAGAATGAAGTCATCTTAACTGTATCATTCCACCTGCAATGACCTGATTTCCAAGCGAAGTCACACTCTGAGGTGGTGGGGTTTAGGGTATGAACATATGGATGTGGGAGAGCACGAAATTCAACGTGTAATAAAGCAGAAACATGCACTCACACAGATGCACGTACGCACAAACAGGGTACACAACACAAGCACCGGCATCCACGTGCTCCACCTGAGGGCGAAGCCAGGGCTCCCAGCCCCCATCCCATTTGCAGGGGACACCTGAGGGCGAAGCCGGGGCTCCCAGCCCCCATCCCATTTGCAGGGGACACCTGAGGGCGAAGCCGGGGCTCCCCAGCCCCCATCCCATTTGCAGGGGACACCTGAGGGCGAAGCCGGGGCTCCCAGCCCCCATCCCATTTGCAGGGGACACCTGAGGGCGAAGCCAGGGCTCCCAGCCCCCATCCCATTTGCAGGGGCATTGGAGTATAAATACCCCAGCTCCCTCACCCCCAGCAGACAACCTGAGCCACATCCTCAGAGGGACTGAGCTCCTGGGGCCTGGCGCTGTAACCTCCCCGTTCATGCCTCCCTGCAGGCCGCTCCCCATCCCCATACCCCTGAGTACTTCCTGGGCTCACATCCCAGGTAGGCCATTTGCCCTCAATCTTTGTTGAGGCTAAAACGCCCTTTTGTAACGGAGCTGACGGGCCATCCCTGTTGTCCTCTATGAAGCCAGACATTCAAGACTTACAGAAACTTAAAAAACAAAGCTGGCCGGGTGCAGTGGCTCATGCCTGTCATCCCAGCACTTTGGGAGGCCGAGGATCACGAGATCGAGACCATCCTGGTCAACGGGGTGAAACCCCGTCTCTACTAAAAATACAAAAATTAGCTGGGCATGGTGGCGCGTGCCTGTAATCCCAGCTACTCGGGAGGCTGAGGCGGGAGAATTGCCTGAACCCAGGAGGCGGAGGCTGCAGTGAGCTGAGATCGCGCCATTGCACTCCAGCCTGGGTGACAAGAGCGAAACTCCGTCTCAAAAAAAAAAAAATCAGTTTCTTTTCTTTGGGCTCAACATTTTCACAGGCTGGGCTGGGAAGATTGAGAACAGGGGGTCGAGACTGCAGTGAGCTGGGATTCCAGCCTGGGCCACAGGCAACCTATTTTTGTTTAAAAAAAATTGGCTGTGCGTGGTGGCCGACACCTGTAATCCAGCACATTGGAAGGCCAAGGTGGGCGGATCATGAGGTCAGGAGATGGAGACCAGCCTGGCCAACATGGTGATACTCTGTCTCTACTAAAAACACAACAAATCAGCCGGGCGTAGTGGCACACACCTGCAGTCAGGCAGCTGAGGCAGAATCGCTTGAACCCTGGAGGCAGAGGTTGCAGTGAATAGAGATCGCGCCACTGCACTCCAGCCTGGGTGACAGAGTCTCAAAAAAAAAAAAAAACCCAAAAACATCGAATTTTTAATGGGAAGTAACAGAAAAAGTGAGGCGTGGAGGAGAGTGTGTTCGGTGCCGTGTGGCCGTGGCATGAGGAGTGCAGCCCGCCAGGTCCGGACTCCACATTTAGGGCAGGGTGAGCGCCGGGCACACTGGCTGAGGGTGCCTCAGGCCCGGGAGGAGGCGGCGCTGAAGGCCCACGGCTGCGGCTGGGCTGGACCCAGGGATGCCGAGGCTCCTACTGGCTGCACCCTGTCCGAGGCCAGGTGCTGCAGGGTCATTCTCTGGAGGGGACGGCCTGGGGGAACACGGGCACCAACACTTACACCGAAAATTCGGCAGGTCCCTGGGTCTGGTGCAGAGATGCATTTATTTCCAGGATATTTTCACATAACAAAATCCCAACACCACCGCTGGGGGGGCGGGGCGGGCCTGCCAGAGGGGACTTGGTCTTCATGGGCACAGCCAAGCACAGCTGTGAGGCTGGGGAAGGGGGGGGGCCCTTTGACAGGAGATCAGCCGGGGGCAGGACCTGAAGACAAGAAGCATGGACGTGGGACCCGTGGGTGCTCCATCCTGGCTGCCAGCCTCCCGAAACCATGGCCACCTCCGGGCACCCAACAGCATTCTGTACCAACCAGGCGACTGGCCCATGTCTAGGGAGGCCCAGGACAGCGGAGTCCCACGGCAAGTGTCCCGGGGTTGAACGGTGGTGAGGGCCGGCAGCCGGGAATGTCCCCAAAGTCGTGGCCAGCGAGTCCAGGAAATGACGGAGGAAAAGTTTCTTTTTGGCCCAACCGTTGTGAATGGGGCTGTGGAAATGCCCCGTGGAGGGTGGAGGCGTTTGTGGGGGAGTCGGGGGACGAGGGAAAACAATCGTGGCCGCTGCCGGACCCCTACATAAGGCACAGATTTGACGGGTCCCCTCTCCTCCTAAGAGGCCACTCCAGGCCAGGCGCGGTGGCTCACACTTGTCATTCCAGCACTTTGGGAAGCCGGGGCGTGTGGATCACCTCAGTCAGGAGTGACGACCACCACGGAGAAACCCCGTCTCTACCAAAAATACAAAACTCAGCCAGGCGTGGTGGCGCAGGCCTGTCATCCCAGCTACTCAGGAGAGGAGGCAGGACAACCACCCGAACCTGGGAGGCGGAGGCTGCAGTGAGCCGAGATCGCGCCACTGCACTCCAGCCAGGACAAGAGCGAGCCTCCCTCACGAGAAAAACAACGCCGCTCCTGTAGGGCTGGGGCTGCTGGGAAAGCGGCCCCCCTGCAGTTTGCTGGCTTTGGGGAGCCGCCGTCCTCCCGGCTTGGCCTGGGTCCTGAACTTGGGGTTGCGGACAAAGGGCCTGCCCGGGGTCCCTGGTTCAGGGGCAGGTAGGGTGGCCTGAGGACACCCTGGACCAGGAGCTGCCCAGGTACAGGAAGTATGGGGAGGGGCGAGGCTGGAGTGCAGGGATGGGGGATGCTGGCACAGCCCTCCTCTGCTGTGGGGACCGGGAGCTGCCTGCGAGGCCTCTTCTTAGTTCGGGCCAAGGGCGTCTGCTCTGGTGACGGGTGGGCAGCTCGTGCGACACAGTCCCCCATAAGACCTCCTCCAGCCTCGGCACCAGCAGCTCCGCGAGAGTGTGAGGGCGGCCAGCCCGCTGCCACCTGTGCCCTGGAGTCTAGCTGCTCAGGCCGGGAGACCTGAAGACAAGGCCGTGGCGATCGTGCAGCGGACCGCAAGGTGACCACACGATTCCGGGAGCAAGAGGGTGTCCTGTGGACGGCGGAGGCCGGAGACCGCTGGGCAGTGCTTGCGAGGAACTCCGCTCTCGGATGAGATGAACACGGGTTCTGTGGTCCCGGCAGGAGGGGCGTGGTCCATGGCCACCATCGGCTTCCACCCTCCCCGAGGGGAGGACGGGCCCCAGGCACTCCCAGCCCTTGGGAGCGAGGGCAGCGGCAGGAGTGAAGGGGAGAAGGAGGTGGTGGTGGTAACTCACCCTAAGGCCACTGGCCACTGCCCGGGTAGCTGGGCACAGTGGGGTACTCGGGCAGGCTGCTGCCTGAGAAGTTGTTGTACTGGGCCTCCCTTGACGGCGGGTTCCGCCACGTGCCTGTGCTCCACTCCGTCTGTGCCTTCTGGAAGCTTCCACCAGCACCTCGGTAGATCCTGTGCACCTGCAGAGACGGAGGGCAGGGAGGTAGAGAACAGAAAATGGGCACGGGGCTCATGCCTGTAATCCCAGCACTTTGAGAGCCTGAGGCGGGCAGACTGCCTGAGTGCCCAAGTTCGAGACCAGCCTGAAACCTCGGCTCTACTAAGATACAAAAAATCAGCTGGGCATGGTGGTGCACACCTGTCCCCTCAGCTACTCCGGAGGCTCAGGCAGGAGAATCGCTTGAACCTCGGAGGTGGAAGCTGCAATGAGCCAAGACTGTGCCACCGCACTCCAGCCTGGGCGACAGAGCAAGACTGTCTCCAAAACAAACCAACCAACAAACTCGGTGTCTGGCTGTAACTGGACGATTTTATCAGCCCAGTGTTCACACTTGTGTGGTCTCTGATGGACCCTGCGACCGGGAACCTGCACGGCCCGCCCTCAAGGACAAGAGGCTCCAGCCCCGGCTGCTCCTGCACCTGGGGTTCACAGGCAGCCCCTGCCTCCCTCCGGGGTCTGCAATCCCGGCATGAGGAAGCACGGGCCTGGCCCCACAGGAACCCAGGCGCTGGGAGTGTCCCTGGGAGGTGACAGTGCCTCCCGCTGTCATCCCAGCTCGCTGCTAGGGATGAAGTGCGTCCTGCGTGACATCACGAGAGAGGGCCCAGCTCCCCGACATTCACCACCTGGGATAGTTGGGTGACGAGTTCATGGAGAAGGCATAAGGGGTGAACGTCCCAAAGCCGAGGACTCACCTTCATGATAGCGATGGCCATCATGGCCGCCGACACGGAGAACATGATGGCTGGAAGCAGCATGACCACGGAAGCACCCACGCTGGTTTGGAAGAACCCGACTGCTGACAGCCAGCCACTGCAAGAGACAAGAGAGTGTGGGGGTGCCTACACACACACACCCCAAATGAGGGCCCATGGTCCTCCCTATGTAAAGAGCTCTGACCAATCAACAAGGGGTGGACAGCTCATACAGCGACCACTGCGTCGCCAACAAACACAGAGTGACACTAAGAGCCACCAACTTCGACGTGTGAACAAGGTTTATTCCACCACGATCTCAGCAGCAAGCAGCTGGTGCAGGGGGAAGGAGAGACCAGGGCTTCCCCATTAGTTTCCCTTGGTGAGTCCGGCCAACACCAGCCGTGGAAAGACCGAAAAGCTCATTCCCATTACCCCACAGAGCCTGCTGCTATGAACCTCCCCTGCTGCACCTGCTTCTAATAAGAAACTGCCGAAATCCCACCAGATGGGGCCCTGAGGGGCCGTTAAAAACAGAAGGGAGGCCGGCACTGGGGCTTACGCCTGCCTCTAATTCCAGCAATCTGGGAGGCCAAGGTGGACGGGTCACCTGAGGTCAGGAGTTCGAAATCAGCCTGGCCAACATGCTAAAACCCCGTCTCTTACAAAAATTATTAAAATAAAAAATTTTAGGGCCGGGCACGGTGGTTCATGCCTGTAATCCCAGCACTTTGGGAGGCCAAGGTGAGTGGATCACGAGGTCAAGAGATCGAGACCATCCTGGTCAACATGGTGAAACCCCGTCTCTACTAAAATTACAAAAAATTAGCTGGGCACGGTGGTGCGTGCCTGTAATCCCAGCTACTCGGGAGGCTGAGGCAGGAGAATTGCCTGAACCCAGGAGGCGGAGGTTGCGGTGAGCCGAGATCGCGCCATTGCACTCCAGCCTGGGTAACAAAAGTGAAATTCGTCTCAAAAAATAAATAAATAAATAAATAAAAATTTTTTAGCCAGGCCTGGTGGCTCACACCTGTAATCCCAGCACCTTGGGAGGTCGAGGCAGGTGGATCACTTGAGGCCAGGAGTTGGAGACCAGCCTGGTCACCATGGTGAGACCCTGTCTCTACTAAAAGTATAAAAATTAGCCAGGCATGGGGCACATGCCCATTATCCCAGCTGCTAAGGAGGCTGAGGCAGGAGAATCACTTGAATCCGGGAGGCGGAGGCTGCAGTGAGCCGAGATCACACCATTACACTACAGCCTGGGCAACAGAGCAAGACTCTTGTCTCAAAATACAAGAAAAAAGCACACACATAAAAGCAAGCACTGCTGGCTCAGCCACCAGTGGGGCACTGCGAAGGCTGGCCCACCTGGGTCCCCACGTGCAGGACCGGCTTCTGGGGATCGCACTTGCCTCCGACCTGGGAGGCAGAAAACACGGTCATCGTGAGATTTTTGTCTAAACAGGTGATGAAACCACACGGTTTAAAGTTGAGGGAACTGACAGACAGACACGCCGCACTCTCTCTCCCAGCACACGGCAGCCCGCAGGACCCGCACGCCTCGGAGGTGTTCAGGGAGCTTATGCACACAGGCCTGTGTGCCCACTGTGTGACACGCGCACACACGCACAGGCCGTGGACCCAGCGCTGCTGCCTGCAAGATGCCGGCCCGTCCCAGGCTGACGAGCTCGGCGCTCCACAGCAGGGCAGCACAGGCTTCACGGGCTTCGGGTCAATCCTTTCTCTTTTTTTTTGAGATGGAGTTTTGCTCTTGTCACCCAGGCTGGAGTGCAATGACACAATCTCGGCTCACTGCAACCTCCGCCTCCTGGGTTCAAGCGATTCTCCTGCCTCAGACTCCCAAGTAGCTGGGATTACGGGCACGTGCCACCACGCCTGGCTAATTTTGTACTTTTAGTAGAGATGGGGTTTCTCCACGTTGGTCAGGCTGGTCTCAAACTTCCAACCCCAGGTGATCTGCCTGCCTCGGCCTCGCAAAGTGCTGGGATTAGAGGCGTGAGCCCGCACCCGGCCTCTTTTGTTTTTGGACAGACGGGGTTTCCCTATGTTGCCCAGGCTGGTCTGAACTCCCCGCCTCAAGCAGTGACCCTCCTGCCTTGGCCTCCCAAAGTGCTGGGACTACAGGAGTCAGCCACTGTGCCTGGCCTCTTTCCTTTTTCAAAAAAACACCTGTTTGGGGATTTTAGATTTACGCAGTGGCAAAGGCATGTGGGTCTCCCGCTTCCCCGCCAGCGTCTCCCGCTTCCCCGCCAGCGTCTCCCACTTCCCCGCCAGCGTCTCCAGCCCCGCCTGCAGGTGTCAGGAACAGGGAGGCGCGGGGCAAACCGTCATCCAGGCTGTGTGCTCTGCTCAGAGGCTCTGCTTCCTGGCGGGGTCCACCAGCGCCGGTGACACCAGGTCCTCCGAGCATGTGTGGCCTCCGACTGTCTACGCAGCTAGGCCTCACTGGGGGTCATTTATCTGGAGGCTACAGCCCTCTGCAACCACAGCTGCCACCCTGGCTCATGGCCCTGTGGGTTCGTCACCCCTGGGGAGGGGACACTGGAGAAGCCGCCCGGGGCAGGGGGTTGTGGCTGTCCCCTTGCGCCCCACAGCAGCGCACTGAGCTAAGCCAACGGTGGGACGTGAGGTCGCCGCACACTGTGATGTGATTTCTATCATTAGGCGGGTTCTCCTCTAAGGACCCCTCAGTTTCTTTCCCGAGAGCATCCACCTTCTCTCCAACTGGGCAGGGACTGCAGGCTCCAGCGTCTCCCGTGACCTGCGGGAGATGACCTCAGGCTCCCATGACGGGAGCCGAGTCGCTGCTGTTACACCTGCCTGAGGGCCAAGGGCCGAGGAGGCAGGGAGGCCTCTGAGGGTCACATATGGACACTCACCTCATGCCGGGATCTCAGGACCACCCAGCATGGGCACAAGCTCGTCCACCCAGCTCAGTTTGGGGAACCTGGGGAGGCGCCGGCACCCAGGGCAGGGCCAGTCAGCCGAGCCGGCAGTGGGGAGCTCAGGGGGACTCGGAGGAGGACGGGCAGAGCCTTGACCTGCAGCCATGGCCTCTGGAGACAGGTACGCACCCCACAGGCTGGCAGAGCTGGGAGCCCTGGGGACACCCTCAATATGACCCTGACTCAGATTACCGGGGTGACATCACGCAGGCTGTTGGCGTGGCGGGTGACAGACCAGCCTCAGTGGCCCATGCGGTGCAGGAGGGGAGAGGCCTGCAGATCGAGGGCCCCTGAAGGGAGAGGAGACACCTTCTCTGGGTTCTGATTTGTGCACTGGCGAGAGAGGGCTGCGGTCTCATGGGGCAGGCACCCCCAAACAGCAGCTTGATAACGGGAGCCCAGGAAACCGAAGGTGCCCATGGCTCTGTGATCGGTGTCACCCATGAGGAGCTCCTGCCTCGCTAAGGACGAGGGAGACACGCTGGGAATGAGGGCGGGAGCAGCCGCTCTTACCAACTGTGGATTCCAAATTATTCCAAAAAAAAAAGCCTATTTAAAAGGCCAGAAATTTAGGACGCGCAGGTCAACGCTTCTGGGCGCCCGGCAGAGAACTCAGAGACCCACCATCACTGTGGGTCTCTACGCTGATGTCAGCGTCTCAGGCAGTGAGCGCGTTTCTACGTATCTTTCCAGTTCTCCTCCAGTGATTTCCACAGAGACATCAGCAGCCGGAGTCAGCTCGCAGACCCCGGACGGGGGCAAGACAGACACCTGCGAGGCAAGCCCGGCTGGGCGCCGGGGAGGACGCAGGCGCTGCCGGGCAGGTGTGGAGCCCTCCCTGGGAGGGCACCAGCAGGCCCACGACCCTGCAGCGGACGGACCAGCATCACACCCGCCACGCCCGTCGGAGAGGCTTACCACGCGCCCCAGCCGGAGAAGCCGATCGCCTGGATGACCGTCAGGACAAACTGAGCTCCGAAGATGAAGAAAAACGCCATGAAGTTGAAGGAGCTGTCGGCTCTGGGGGGAGACAGAAAGCACGACGGTCACCGCGGCGTCTCCCAGACGCACCCAGAAAAGCACGACGGTCACCGCGGCGTCTCCCAGATGCACCCAGAGAGGAACGTGCAAGCCAGAGACGGCAAGAATGGAGGCTCTATCTCACTCCTGTGTTTTCTGTTTGGTCTTGTTTGGTTTAAAGACGGGGGTTTCTGGCCGGGCGCGGTGGCTCACGCCTGTAATCCCAGCACTTTGGGAGGCCGAGGCGGGTGGATCATGGGTTGAAGAGATCGAGACCATCCTGGTCAACAAGGTGAAACCCAGTCTCCACTAAAAATAAAAAAAATTAGCTGGGCATGGTGGCGCGTGCCTGTAGTCCCAGCTACTTGGGAGGCTGAGGCAGGAGAATTGCCTGATCCCAGGAGGTGGAGATTGTGGTGAGCCGAGATCGCGCCATTGCACTCCAGCCTGGGTAACAACAGCGAAACTCAGCCTCAGAAAATGAAAAAAAATAAATAAATAAAATAAAAAAATAAAGACGGGGTTTCGCCATATTGGTCAGGCTGGTCTCAAACTCCTAACCTCCTAATCCACCCACCTCAGCCTCCCGAAGTGCTGAAATTACAGGCACAAGCCACCGCGCTTGGCTCCTGTTTTTTGTTTTTTTTTTTCCTGTGCAGAGAGCCTCACTCCATCACCCAGGATGGAGTGCAGTGTCCAGATCTCGGCTCACTGCAACCTCTGCTGGGATTACAGACGCCCGCCAGCACACCTGCCTAATTTTTGTATTTTTAGTAGAGACCGGGTTTCGCCACATTGGCCAGGCTAGTCTTGAACTGCTGACCTCAGGTGATCCCCCCGCCTCGGCCTCCCAAAGTGCTGGGATGACAGAATGACAAACGTGAGCCCGGCTTTTTTCTTTTTTTTTTTTTGAGACAGAGTTTCACGCTCCTCTCCCAGGCTGGAGGGCAGTGGTGTCATCTCAGCTCACTGCAAACCCCCACTCCGGGGTTCAAGTGACTCTCCTGCCTCAGCCTCCCAAGCAGCTGGGATCACAGGTGCCCGCCACCATGCCTGGTTAAATTTTTTATTTTTAGTAGAGACGGGGTTTCACCATGTTGGCCAGGCTGGTCTCAAACTCCTGACCTCGTGAAACCCCCGCATGGCCTCCTAAAGGGCTGGGATTACAGGCGTGAGCCACTGCGCCCGGCCAAAATTACTAAAAAGCAAAACCAAACAGGCGGTATTTGGCTCTGGCTTGCGGGCCGTCGTCTGCCACCCTGGATGTGAACCGCCCTTCACACTGGGCAGAGCAGGGGCAGGTCCCGGCAGCCGGGCCCGGTTCCCTCCGCGGGCGGTGGCGGCCCAGCAGCTCTGCTCACCGGAAGGCCTTGTAGACGGGCCGGAACCAGCACACGTAGCTGCAGGGCGTGAACAGGAGCAGCCACACGATGGCCAGGCCGAAGTTGGATGCCGGGCCTCCGGCGATCAGCCAGGCCAGGCAGGCGATGAGGTTGACGCCAAGGGTGGCGCAGTAAACTGCGGGGAGAGCGGGGGGGGGCGGGTCAGCTGCGCGAGGGCGTGGCCGCGGGAAGGCTCGCCCAGCTATGGGACTCCAGCATCTGCTGTCCGCCTCCCCAGCCCGGTGACCCCACGCGCGAGGGCATGGCCACGGGAAGGCATGCGCAGCTATGGGACTCCAGCATCTGCTGTCCGCCTCCCCAGCCCGGTGACCCCACGCGCGAGGGCATGGCCACGGGAAGGCATGCGCAGCTATGGGACTCCAGCATCTGCCGTCCGCCTCCCCAGCCCGGTGACCCCACGCGCGAGGGCATGGCCGCGGGAAGGCTCGCCCAGCTATGGGACTCCAGCATCTGCTGTCCGCCTCCCCAGCCCGGTGACCCCACGCGCGAGGGCATGGCCACGGGAAAGCTCGCCCAGCTATGGGACTCCAGCATCTGCTGTCCGCCTCCCCAGCCCGGTGACCCCACACGCGAGGGCATGGCCACGGGAAGGCACGCCCAGCTACGGGACTGCGCCCTCTGCCGTCCGCCTCCCCAGCCTGGTGACACCACATCAAGGATGGACACTGGGGCCTGGACAGCGGCCTCCATCACTGTAGGGACCACCGGGCCCAGAGACCCCGCCAGGCTGCCCCTGCCCGAATGGCGCTCCCTTCCTACCCCCTTCCCTCGGGCAGCCCTGCCTCTGCCTCCCGCCCCGAGCCGCTCACACATCCACAGTCGGTAGATCCGCTTCACCAGGACCTGGTGCTCCACCGGGATCTCATCGGAGAAGTTCTGGTAGAAGCAGGGCTTCAGGGGGATGAACCTGGGCAGCGGCGGGAAGTTGTTCTCCTTTTCTGTCGGGACAGAGAACCCACGGACACAACCGGATTTTGTCTTTTTTTTTTTTTAAAGATGGGGTTTCACCATATTGGCCACGCTGGTCTCGAACTCCTGACCTCAGGTGATCTGCCCACCTCAGCCTCCCAAAGTGCTGGGATTACAGGCGTGAGCCACTGCACCCGGCTTCTTTTTTTTTTGAGACAGAATTTCGCTCGCTACCCAGCCTGGGGTGCAATGGCGCGATCTCGGCTCACTGCAACCTCCGCCTCCTGGGTTCAGGCAATTCTCCTGCCTCAGCCTCCGGAGTAGCTGGGACTAAAGGCACACGCCACCATGCCCAGCTAATTTTTGTATTTTTAGTAGAGACGGGGTTTCACCTTGTTGACCAGGAGGGTTTCGATCTCTTGACCTCATGATCCACCCGCCTCGGCCTCCCAAAGTGCTGGGATTACAGGCGTGAGCCACCGCGCCCCGCTTTTTTTTTTTTTTTTTTTTTTTTTTTTAAGACACAGTCTTGCTCTGTCACCCAGGCTGGAGTGCAATGGCGTGATCTCAGCTCACTGCAACCTCCACTTCCAAAGTTTAAGCAATTCTCTGCCTCAGCTCCCGAGTAGCTGGGACTACAGGGGTCCACCACCGTGCCCAGGTAACTTTTGTCTTTTTAGCAGACACGGGGTTTCACCATCTTGGCCAGACTGGTCTTGAAGTCCTGACCCCATGATCCACCCGCCTCAGCCTCCCAAAGTGCTGGGATGACAGGCGTGAGCCACTGTGCCTGGCCCCAGATTTTGTCTCTTGAAGGCAGCCCGACCTCGTCCACGGCTGTGTCGCCTCTCATGGCAGAAGGGACTCTGCAGCTGGGATTGAGGGAAGGACCTGAGACAGGAGAGGAGCAGGATGATCTGGGGCCCAGTGTTCTCACAGTAGCTCACGAGAGGAGGCGGGAGGGTGGGACTCAGAGAGCCTGGAAGCGGCTGCACTGGGGCTGTGAAGGGGAGGATGGGGCCCCGAGCCAAGGGGTGCAGGTACCTCTGGATGCTGAGAAAGGCGGGAACTGGCTTCTCGCCTGGAGCCCCCAGGAGGACCCAGCCCTGTCTACAGCTTGATTTTAGGATTTCTGGTCTCCAAACTGTCAGGTAACAGATTTCCTTGTTTTAAGAAACTAAGTTTATGAAATTGTTTTAAATTTAGGTGCCACCCTTTACGAGGGGCCATGCCCATCTCTGCAGCCCTCCTGTTTAGCCTGGGTGTGGCCGCAGCAGGCTGGGTTTGGTGTCATTCTCTATAGCAGGCAGGGGAGGCCAACAGGCGTGCTCAGTGGGCCAAGTCCACAGGCTGCAGGCAGGCTGTGGCCAGGGGACACTTCTGTTCCCAGTGGCTGGGGTGAGAAAGCGCCACCAACTGGGAGGCTCAGACAACAGCCGCCCAAGTGCAGGTTCCACCTGCCATCCCAGCATTCGGGGAAGCCGGGGCAGGAGGGCTGTGGGAGCCCAGGAGTTCCACATCAGCCCGGGCAACCTAATGAGATCCCAACTCCACAAAAAATACAAAAATCAGCCAAGCGTGGTGGTGCACCCTTGTGGTCCCAGCTCCTCAGAAGGCTGAGGCGGGAGGACTGCTTGAATCTGGGAGGTTAAGGCTGCAGTGAGCTGTGGTCCCACCACTGAGCCACACCCTGTCTCAAAACAAACAGGAAGGTAACACAACAGAAACATATCTGCTAACAATCCTGGAGCCAGAAATCTGAGATCAAGGTGTCTTGGGGCCACGCTTCCTCTGGAGGCTCAGGGAAGGAGCTTTCCTGTCTCTCCCAGCTTCTGGGGCTCATGGCCGCATAGCTCCAGCCTCTGCCTCCATCTCCATGACCCCTCCTGTCTCTTCATCTCTCATTTTTTTGAGATGGAGTCTCACTCTGTCGCCCAGGCTGGAGTGCAATGGCGTGATCTCGGCTCACCACAACCTCCGCCTCCTGGGTTCAAGCATTCTTCTGCCTCAGCCTCCCGAGTAGCTGGGACTACAGGCGTGCATCACCATGCCCAGCTAATTTTTGTATTTTTAGTAGAAATGGGGTTTCACCATGTTGGTCAGGCTGTTCTCAACCTCCTGACCTTATGATTCACCTCAGTCTCCCAAAGTGCTGGGATTACAGGCGTGAGCCACCGCGCCCGACTGCAACTCTTATAAATATACCAGGCACTGGACTTCCATAAATAGCACTGGACTTAAATAAATATATAAATACACCGGGCGCCGGACCTATATAGATACATAAATACACCGGGCACCGGACTTATATACGTACATAAATACACCGGGCACCGGACTTATATACATACATCGGGCGCCGGACTTATATACGTACATAAACACGCCCGGCGCCGGACTTATATACATACACCGGGCGCCGGACTTATATGCATACACCGGGCGCCGGACTTATATACGTACATAAACACGCCGGGCGCCGGACTTATATACGTACATAAACACACCGGGCGCCGGACTTATATACGTACATAAACACACCGGGCGCCGGACTTATATGCATACACCGGGCGCCGGACTTATATACGTACATAAACACACCGGGCGCCGGACTTATATACGTACATAAACACACCGGGCGCCGGACTTATATACGTACATAAACACACCGGGCGCCGGACTTATATACGTACATAAACACACCGGGCGCCGGACTTATATGCATACACCGGGCGCCGGACTTATATACGTACATAAACACACCGGGCGCCGGACTTATATGCATACACCGGGCGCCGGACTTATATACGTACATAAACACACCGGGCACCGGACTTATATACATACATCGGGCGCCGGACTTATATATGTACATAAATGCACCGGGCGCCGGACTTATATATGTACATAAATACACCGGGCACCGGACTTACATATGTACATAAATACACCGGGCGCCGGACTTATATACGTACATAAACACGCCGGGCGCCGGACTTATATACGTACATAAACACACCGGGCGCCGGACTTATATACGTACATAAACACACCGGGCGCCGGACTTATATGCATACACCGGGCGCCGGACTTATATACGTACATAAACACACCGGGCGCCGGACTTATATACGTACATAAACACACCGGGCGCCGGACTTATATACGTACATAAACACACCGGGCGCCGGACTTATATACGTACATAAACACACCGGGCGCCGGACTTATATGCATACACCGGGCGCCGGACTTATATACGTACATAAACACACCGGGCGCCGGACTTATATGCATACACCGGGCGCCGGACTTATATACGTACATAAACACACCGGGCACCGGACTTATATACATACATCGGGCGCCGGACTTATATATGTACATAAATGCACCGGGCGCCGGACTTATATATGTACATAAATACACCGGGCACCGGACTTACATATGTACATAAATACACCGGGCGCCGGACTTATATACGTACATAAACACACCGGGCGCCGGACTTATATACGTACATAAATACACCGGGCGCCGGACTTATATGCATACACCGGGCGCCGGACTTATATACGTACATAAACACGCCGGGCGCCGGACTTATATGCATACACCGGGCGCCGGACTTATATACGTACATAAACACGCCGGGCGCCGGACTTATATACATACATAAACACACCGGGCGCCGGACTTATATACGTACATAAACACACCGGGCGCCGGACTTATATACGTACATAAACACGCCGGGCGCCGGACTTATATGCATACACCGGGCGCCGGACTTATATACGTACATAAACACGCCGGGCGCCGGACTTATATACATACATAAACACACCGGGCGCCGGACTTATATACATACATAAACACACCGGGCGCCGGACTTATATACGTACATAAACACGCCCGGCGCCGGACTTATATACGTACATAAACACGCCGGGCGCCGGACTTATATACGTACATAAACACGCCGGGCGCCGGACTTATATACGTACATAAACACGCCGGGCGCCGGACTTATATACGTACATAAACACGCCGGGCGCCGGACTTATATGCATACACCGGGCGCCGGACTTATATACGTACATAAACACGCCGGGCGCCGGACTTATATACATACATAAACACACCGGGCGCCGGACTTATATACATACATAAACACACCGGGCGCCGGACTTATATACGTACATAAACACGCCCGGCGCCGGACTTATATACGTACATAAACACGCCGGGCGCCGGACTTATATACGTACATAAACACGCCGGGCGCCGGACTTATATACGTACATAAACACGCCGGGCGCCGGACTTATATACGTACATAAACACGCCGGGTGCCGGACTTATATACGTGCCGGGTGCCGGACTTATATACGTACATAAAGACACCGGGTGCCGGACTTATATACGTACATAAACACACCGGGTGCCGGACTTATATACGTACATAAACACACCGGGTGCCGGACTTATATACGTACATAAACACGCCGGGCGCCGGACTTATATACGTACATAAACACACCGGGTGCCGGACTTATATACATACACCGGGCGCCGGACTTATATACGTACATAAACACACCGGGCGCCGGACTTATATACGTACATAAACACGCCGGGCGCCGGACTTATATACGTACATAAACACGCCGGGCGCCGGACTTATATACGTACATAAACACGCCCGGCGCCGGACTTATATACGTACATAAACACGCCGGGCGCCGGACTTATATACGTACATAAACACGCCGGGCACCGGACTTATATACGTACATAAACACGCCGGGAGCCGGACTTATATACGTACATAAACACGCCGGGCGCCGGACTTACATACGTACATAAACACGCCGGGCGCCGGACTTATATACATACATAAACACACCGGGCGCCGGACTTATATACGTACATAAACACGCCCGGCGCGGGACTTATATACGTACATAAACACGCCGGGCGCCGGACTTATATACGTACATAAACACGCCGGGCGCCGGACTTATATACGTACATAAACACGCCGGGCGCCGGACTTATATACGTACATAAACACGCCGGGCGCCGGACTTATATACGTACATAAACACGCCGGGCGCCGGACTTATATACGTACATAAACACGCCGGGTGCCGGACTTATATACGTGCCGGGTGCCGGACTTATATACGTACATAAAGACACCGGGTGCCGGACTTATATACGTACATAAAGACACCGGGTGCCGGACTTATATACGTACATAAACACACCGGGTGCCGGACTTATATACGTACACCGGGCGCCGGACTTATATACGTACATAAACACGCCCGGCGCCGGACTTATATACGTACATAAACATACCGGGTGCCGGACTTATATACGTACATAAAGACACCGGGTGCCGGACTTATATACGTACATAAACACACCGGGTGCCGGACTTATATACGTACACCGGGCGCCAGACTTATATACGTACATAAACACGCCCGGCGCCGGACTTATATACGTACATAAACATACCGGGTGCCGGACTTATATACGTACATAAAGACACCGGGTGCCGGACTTATATACGTACATAAACACACCGGGTGCCGGACTTATATACGTACATAAATACACCGGGCGCCGGACTTATATACGTACATAAACATACCGGGTGCCGGACTTATATACGTACATAAAGACACCGGGTGCCGGACTTATATACGTACATAAACACACCGGGTGCCGGACTTATATACGTACATAAATACACCGGGCGCCGGACTTATATACGTACATAAACATACCGGGTGCCGGACTTATATACGTACATAAACACACCGGGTGCCGGACTTATATACGTACATAAACACACCGGGCGCCGGACTTATATACGTACATAAACACGCCCGGCGCCGGACTTATATACGTACATAAACATACCGGGTGCCGGACTTATATACGTACATAAAGACACCGGGTGCCGGACTTATATACGTACATAAACACACCGGGTGCCGGACTTATATACGTACACCGGGCGCCGGACTTATATACGTACATAAACACGCCCGGCGCCGGACTTATATACGTACATAAACATACCGGGTGCCGGACTTATATACGTACATAAAGACACCGGGTGCCGGACTTATATACGTACATAAACACACCGGGTGCCGGACTTATATACGTACACCGGGCGCCAGACTTATATACGTACATAAACACGCCCGGCGCCGGACTTATATACGTACATAAACATACCGGGTGCCGGACTTATATACGTACATAAAGACACCGGGTGCCGGACTTATATACGTACATAAACACACCGGGTGCCGGACTTATATACGTACATAAATACACCGGGCGCCGGACTTATATACGTACATAAACATACCGGGTGCCGGACTTATATACGTACATAAACACACCGGGTGCCGGACTTATATACGTACACCGGGCGCCGGACTTATATACGTACATAAACACGCCCGGCGCCGGACTTATATACGTACATAAACATACCGGGTGCCGGACTTATATACGTACATAAATACACCGGGTGCCGGACTTATATACATACACCGGGCGCCGGACTTATATACGTACATAAACACACCGGGTGCCGGACTTATATACGTACACCGGGCGCCGGACTTATATACGTACATAAACACACCGGGTGCCGGACTTATATACATACACCGGGCGCCGGACTTATATACGTACATAAACACGCCGGGCGCCGGACTTATATACGTACATAAACACGCCGGGTGCCGGACTTATATACGTACATAAACACGCCGGGTGCCGGACTTATATACGTACATAAACACGCCGGGCGCCGGACTTATATACGTACATAAACACGCCGGGCGCCGGACTTATATACATACATAAACACACCGGGTGCCGGACTTATATACATACACCGGGCGCCGGACTTATATACGTACATAAACACACCGGGCGCCGGACTTATATACATACACCGGGTGCCGGACTTATATACGTACATAAACACGCCGGGCGCCGGACTTATATACGTACATAAACACACCGGGCGCCGGACTTATATACATACACCGGGTGCCGGACTTATATACGTACATAAACACGCCGGGCGCCGGACTTATATACGTACATAAACACACCGGGTGCCGGACTTATATACATACACCGGGCGCCGGACTTATATACGTACATAAACACACCGGGCGCCGGACTTATATACATACACCGGGTGCCGGACTTATATACGTACATAAACACGCCGGGCGCCGGACTTATATACGTACATAAACACACCGGGCGCCGGACTTATATACGTACATAAACACGCCGGGTGCCGGACTTATATACGTACATAAACACGCCGGGCGCCGGACTTATATACGTACATAAACACGCCGGGCGCCGGACTTATATACGTACATAAACACGCCGGGTGCCGGACTTATATACGTACATAAACACGCCGGGCGCCGGACTTATATACGTACATAAACACGCCGGGCGCCGGACTTATATACATACATAAACACACCGGGTGCCGGACTTATATACATACACCGGGCGCCGGACTTATATACGTACATAAACACACCGGGCGCCGGACTTATATACATACACCGGGTGCCGGACTTATATACGTACATAAACACGCCGGGCGCCGGACTTATATACGTACATAAACACACCGGGCGCCGGACTTATATACATACACCGGGTGCCGGACTTATATACGTACATAAACACGCCGGGCGCCGGACTTATATACGTACATAAACACACCGGGTGCCGGACTTATATACATACACCGGGCGCCGGACTTATATACGTACATAAACACACCGGGCGCCGGACTTATATACGTACACCGGGCGCCGGACTTATATACGTACATAAACACACCGGGTGCCGGACTTATATACATACACCGGGCGCCGGACTTATATACGTACATAAACACACCGGGTGCCGGACTTATATACGTACACCGGGCGCCGGACTTATATACGTACATAAACACACCGGGTGCCGGACTTATATACATACACCGGGCGCCGGACTTATATACGTACATAAACACACCGGGCGCCGGACTTATATACGTACACCGGGCGCCGGACTTATATACGTACATAAACACACCGGGTGCCGGACTTATATACGTACACCGGGCGCCGGACTTATATACGTACATAAACACACCGGGCGCCGGACTTATATACGTACACCGGGCGCCGGACTTATATACGTACATAAACACACCGGGCGCCGGACTTATATACATACACCGGGTGCCGGACTTATATACGTACACCGGGCGCCGGACTTATATACGTACATAAACACACCGGGCGCCGGACTGATATACGTACATAAATACACCGGGCGCCGGACTTATATACGTACATAAATACACCAGGCACTGGACTGAGACTTCGCCCTGCTCTAGTACCTCATTTTTTTTTTTCTTTTTTTTTAAAACGGGGTTTCACCATGTTGGTCAGGCTGGTCTTGAACTCATGACCTCAGGTCATCCGCCCGCCTTGGCCTCCAAAGTGCTTGGATTACAGGCGTGAGCTGCCACGCCCGGTCCCTTTTTTTTTTTGAGTCAGAGTCTTGCTCTGTTGCCAGGCTGGAGCGCAATGGTGCAATCTCGGATCAGTACAACCTCCATCTCCCAGGTTCAGGCAACTCTCCCGCCTCAGCCTCCCAAGTGGCTGGGATTACAGGCATGCACCACCATGCCCAGCTAATTTTTGTGTTTTTAGTAGAGACAGGGTTTCCCCATGTTGACCAGGATGGTCTCGATCTCTTGACCTCTTGATCTGCCCGCCTCGGCCTCCCAAAGAGCTGGGATTGCAGGCGTGAGCCGCCGCGCCCGGCCCATCACTTCATCTTAACCCCCCACATCGGCAAAGGCCATGTTCCCAAATGAGCTCCCAACCACCGGCTCCAGGGGTCAGGAAGGGAACACACACAGCCTCTGGGGGACTCGGCATGACCTGGGAGACCCCTGGGAGCTTCTGCGGAGCCAGCACTGCCCGCGGAAGCCAGACGGCAGGAGGCCCATCCTCAGGGGCTCCACCCGCAGCGGGGGCTGACAGTACACGAGCGGGTGAGCGGGTCAGAGACCCGTGGGCACCAAGAAGAGAGCGGGTGCTAGGAGGAAAGAGCAGCAGTGCCAGCGGGGGGCACCGGCGGGCTGTGCTTCGGGTCGTGAGGCGGGGAAGGGAGTGGAGTGAATTCCTCTGGGTGGGGCATCCAGGAGGAGGGCAGGGCAGCGCAAAAGCCTGGGGGTGAACTGCCAGGCCCAGAAGTAGCAGAGACCTCGGAAGAAGGCAGGGGTGAGGTGCCCATGCTGAGGCCCACCTGGCTTCACTCACACCCCTCCTGGCGTCGGAGCGGATGACACAGGCGGCTCTGTAGCCCTGTCCCGACCCCCAGCAGAGGCAAGAACCCGGCTGTCTGAGCTGTGGAGCTGGAGAAGTCAGAAGCCAGGCGGGCCAGGAGGACACTGTACAGCCACGGCCAGGACCGAGGGCTGCCGTGGGAACTGCTGGCGTCACCCTCCCGCCCACACCGCTGGGGCTCCCAGGCCGGCAGGACTCACCTGACATCTCTTCTTCGCCGACCGGCGCCGGCTGAAGCCTGCAGCCACCTGGAAATAGACAGTGACAGTCAGAGAATCACAGGTCGCCCTGGGCAGGGCGTTAACCACCCACCGTGGCTGGAGAGCCCCTCACTGTGCCCTGTACTCTGGGCAGAGCAGTGGGCTGTGCAGATGCCACAGGCCTGACCTGACCCTATATGTCACCCCACGGGTTCCCTCCACTCGCCTCGAGTGTGCACCATCCTTGCTGGCAAAAGGGGAAGGGCCGGCTGCAGCCCTCCCACCTACCGCCCCAGCCAGGATGCCCCTCCCCTGCTGTCCTAGGCCCCCACGTGCCCCAAATCCCAGCTTCAGCCCACAAGGGATAAGTGCTGCACGGCCTGACTTCCCAGCGAGTAACAGAACCAGGTGCCAGCTCACTGCTGTGTGCCCTCAGGCCAGTCACACTGCCTGTCTGGGCTATGGTTTTCACCCCGTGAACGTCGCAGGGCCTAGGACCCCATCGCATCCAAGTGGCACATGGCCTTTCTGAAAGGGAATCCCACAAGCAGACGCACCAGAGCAGCCTGACCCAGCCTGCCAGCCACGCACCACAGAGTGATCTAGCTGCTTCCGTGGTCCTGGTGGCAGGCCTGCCATTGGGAGGTGGGCCAGGCCAGCAGGGAAATGCCCATCACAGCCCATCACGGTTGGAACCATCCCAGATCCTGGCAGGGAGCAGGCCCGAGGGGGCGGGCACGGGCTGGAGCTGCCTCCCGCCCACAGACCAGGAGAGGAGGCGCAGAGGAACTAAGGCCTCCACACACAACCCATCCGGGGAGGTGTCACCGGGGTTGGGGCGCCCCAGGCTCTTGGGACAGCACATTCTGTCCTCTTTCTACCTCCCAGCCCCCCCTCCCTCCTTTCTGCCTTCCTGCCCCTCAGGGGAAGGAGCTGAGCCCTGAGCACCAAGCATGGAGGAGGACCAACCACTGCCCCCACCACCGGGCATGCCTCTGCAGCTCCCACCTCCATGCTGTGGCTCCGGCCACATCAGCCCACCTCGGTCCCAGCCCCAGGCACGGGGTCCCCCACTGCAGGTCTGGCGGTCTCCTGGTCAGCCGCGCGTTCTGTCCGCTGCACTAGCTCCCCACGCAGTCCCCGCCTGCCACACCCCTCCCCCACGGGCTAGGGGATCAGGGCAGGCCTGTGTGGGGGCTGAGCGGCACCCTCGTGGTCATGTGACAGATGCCACCAGGTGGACACACAGGTCCTGCTTCACGTTCTGCAAACTCGGCTCCAGTCACTGTGCTGTGACAGGCTGGCATCAGCCCTTTGGGGTCCCCCGTTGCCACTTGTGTAGGACACTAAATGCCAGGGTCCCTCCTTCAGGTCGGTGGCCTGTGGGCGACGCCTAGTGTCCAAGTATCAGGCCCGGGCACTCCCGGAACCACCGGGGCTCCAGAAGCGGGCAAGGAGGCAGCAGCTGGGGGCCCTGTCCTACCAGGAACCAGTGGAGGGCTCGGACCACGCGGCGGCTCAGCAGGCTCCCTCCAGTTGGCCACCAGGCCCTGTACAGACCTCACCCCACGAGGGAACCTGGCCACCAAGGCACACGCCAGTCAACAGACACCCACTTGGTTATAGGCTGTTTATTTTCCCGTTAGAGCTGTTTCCTAGCCCGAGAGACAGAGGGGACACAAAGGCAGCGAGGGCACCCATGGAGATCTCCACAGGACAGTGTGGGGGTGAGCCAAGGACTAAGCCAGGAAAGCTCACGCCGCAGCTCAACACGGAAGGCAGCCCTCGGGGTCCCCGCCGGAGGCAGTGTGTCCTTAAAATCCACAGAAAGGCTTGCGCCAAGGAGGTCGAGGCCCAGGAAGTGCAGGAGAGGTGCCCCATGCAGGGAGCACGAAGGTCCGGAGGCAGGAGGGCAGTGCCTACGTGTCGGGGTCCAGCCGGAGGCACTGTTCCTCCAGCACGCCGCGGAACACCTGGAAGCGGTGGTTGAGGTCAGGCCGCGCGTGGATGCGGAAGCGGGTGCCCAGGGCGCCGTCGGGCGAGGGGGCGCCATAGAAAACGCGCAGTATGCGCGAGTGCACCAGGGCCATGGCGCACATGGCGCAGGGCTCACGGGTCACGTACAGGTCGTAGCCGGTGCACACATAGGGGAGGCCATCCTCATCCGTGTCCAGTTTGCGCACACCACCTGCGCAGACGCCGTGGGGGGCGGTGGCCGGGGAGAAGGAGCAGGCGGGGAAGGGTGCGAAGTCGTAGGTGCCCCGGCCCTGGCCGTGTGCCACGAGGTCCACGCACACCATGACGGCGTGCAGGAGGGGGCTGGCGGCGCTGCTGCAGTCGTGGGCGGTGGCCAGCACATGGTCCGAGGCCGGGTCCACCACCACGGCCCCCACAGCCCGCAGGCCCCGTGCTTCTGCCCACCGGGCCGCCCGCACCGCACGCTCCATGTGGCTCTGCATGGCGGCGCGCTCCTGTGTGGAGAAGAGCTGCCCGGCCAGGGCACTGGTCACCTGCTTGTCCTCATGGAAGGATGTGGGCCAGTGGGCGCGCGCCTCCTCGAACTGGCTCCTGGTCAGAGGTGGCCGGGCAGGCACGGGCACCAGGAAGGGCTGCCCCAGGCCACGGGGGTCCACAGCCGGCCGTGGGAGGAGCTCGGCCAGCGAGCGTGGGCCGGAGGCCGGCCCGGCCAGGCACAGCAGCATCTCCAGGGCGTGGGGGCAGCTGGCGTCGTGGCTGGGCCGCACCCGCTTGAGGTGAGGCTGGGCCGGGAGCGGGTGCAGGGCCGACACCTCCTTCAGGAGGCGAGAGGTCTGGCGCTTGTCCAGGACGGGCGCGGCGTAGGCCAGCACCAGCTCCACGTCCCCCGCCTGCTGCTCGGACAGGACTGGGAGGACCTGCCACGATGTGGGCTCAGGCTCCGGGCTCCCGGCCTCCGTGCGCTGGGGCTGCTCCAGGAGGCCCGGGGCGGGCTCCATCCTCAGCGAGGCTGACTGTGGAAAAGAGACGGGAGCAGGGGATCATCCGGCAGCTGCGGGTCGCTGGGGGCGCCAGGGAGTCTGTCCCAGGAGGCTGCGACTCCGCGAGGTGGGGCGTGAAGAGGCCAGTCCCAGGGCTATGGCCCAGGTCGCCGCACCAGGGCTACGCCCACTCATGTCCTGCTAACCCCTGGTTTGCACAGGGTTTAAACGGCCTTGGTTTTCAAAAGCGAAGACGTTATTCACCTACTATAAGACAAGTCATTTTCTTTTTTTTGAGACGGGGTCTCCCCGTCACCCAGGCTAGAGCGCAGTGGCACAATCTTGGCTCACTGCAACCTTTACCTCCTGGGTTCAAGCAATTCTTATGCTCAACCTCCCGAGTAGCTGGGATTACAGGCGCGCGCCACCACGCCCGGCTAATTTTTTTGTATTTTTAGTAGAGATGGGGTTTCACCACATAGTTCAGGCTGGTCTCGATCTCCTGAAGTAAAGTGATCCACCCACCTCAGCCTCCCAAAGTGCTGGGATTACAGATGTGAGTCACTGCACCCAGCCAAGACTGGTCATTTTCAAGTGTGCAATTCATGGCTAGGTGTGGCGACTCACACCTGTAATCCCAGCACTACGGGAGGCTGAGGTGGGAGGATCACTTAAGCCCAGGAGTACAAGACCAGCCTGGGCAACATAGCAAGACCCCATCTCTACTAAAAATCAAAAAATTGGCCGGGCGCGGTGGCTCACGCCTGTAATCCCAGCACTTTGGGAGGCCGAGGCGGGTGGATCACGAGGTCAAGAGATCCAGACCATCCTGTTCAACAAGGTGAAACCCCGTCTCTACTAAAAATATAAAAAAATTAGCTGGGCGTGGTGGCGCGTGCCTGTAATCCCAGCTACTCAGGAGGCTGAGGCAGGAGAATTGCCTGAACCCAGGAGGCGGAGGTTGTGGTGAGCCGAGATCGCGCCATTGCACTCCAGCCTGGGTAACAAGAACAAAACTCCGTCTCAAAAAAAAAAAAAAAAAATCAAAAACTGGGGCCGGGCACGGTGGCTCAAGCCTGTAATCCCAGCACTTTGGGAGGCCGAGGCGGGTGGATCACGAGGTCAACAGATCGAGACCATCCCGGTCAACATGGTGAAACCCCGTCTCTACTAAAAATTACAAAAAATTAGCTGGGCATGGTGGCGCGTGCCTGTAGTCCCAGCTACTCAGGAGGCTGAGGCAGGAGAATTGCCTGAACCCAGGAGGGAGGTTGCGGTGAGCCGAGATCGCGCCATTGCACTCCAGCCTGGGTAACAAGAGCGAGACTCCGTCTCAAAAAAAAAAAAAAAATCAAAAACTGAGCTGGGTGTGGTGGTGCACACCGCTGGCTGGGGCTCAGCTACTCAAGAGGCTGACAGGAGAATCACTCAAGGCTTCGGTACCCTACGGTTGTGCCACTGTACTCCCACCTGGTTGACAGAGCGAGACGCTGACTCAAAAAAAAAAAACCAAAAAAACTGCTGAGCGTGGTGGCTCACTTCTGTAATGCCAACATCTTGGGAGGCTGAGGCAGGTGGATCACAGGGTCAGTCAGGAGATCGAGACCACCCTGGCTAACAAAGGGAAACCCTGTCTCTACTAAAAATACAAAACAAATAGCCAGGTGTGTTGGCAGGCGCCTGTAGTCCCAGCTACTCGGGGGGCTGAGGCAGGAGAATCGCTCGAACCTGGGAGGCAGAGGTTGCAGTGAGCTGAGATCACACCACTGTACTCCAGCCTGGGTGACAGAGCGAGACTCTGTCTGGAAAAAAAAAAAACTCAAAAGCCACAAACAATCAAGTGTCCTATTCTGTGGCTCTTAGTATGCTTGGTGTGGTGCAAGCATCACCACTATAAAATTCCAGAACATTCCATCACCTCCGAGAGAAAATTTGTCTAACTACCCACGGCACACACAGCAACGCAGGCAACCTCTGATGTGAGCTCTGCATCTGCAGACGCCAGGGCCTGGAAGCACAAGCCGTCGACAGGCAGTGCCTGGCTTCCAGACAGAAGAGCCATGTGGCCAGGAACGGAGCGGGACCCTTGGTCCTCTGGCCCCAAAGCGCAGAATTCCACGACACCTGCATGAGCTGGAATCAGATGCCTCCCCGCTGAGCCTCCAGATGATTACACAGCCCTGGCTGACACCCGGGTTCCAGCCCGCTGAGACCCCACGCAGAGGACCCAGCCACGTCGCACCCAGGCCCCGACCCACAGAACCAGGAGCTGGTGTTAAGTGCACAGATGCGCAGTCTGCTATGCAGGGACAGAGAGCAAGCATGCCAAGTGTGTGGGACACGGGGCCACCTCCCAGAACAGCACACAGTCTGGCCGTGACACCAAATGCCCACCTCCGGGTGGTTTCTGTAAACAGTCGCCCCGCCCCCCACCCCAGTCAGCCAAGGGCTGGGAAAAGAAAGGCCTGGGAGCACAGGCACGGAACCTAAGCCCTGGAACGCAGCCCTCCCCCGGCGGGCCTGGCTTCCCATCCCTTGAGCACGTTCCTGCAGCTGTGGTGGGCCCCGGCTGTTGGGTGCGGCAGGTAGCCACCCGCGTGTCCCTACCTACTGAGTCACAGAGGAGGCCCTGGTTGGAATGGGCTGGCGGGAGGAGCTGGGAACATCCCTCACTGCCAGGCACTGTGTCAAGGTGGCTCTCGGGTGAGAACCTCTTACCTGACATCACCAGCACCGTTTCCATCCCTGCCCCTGGCACAGGTGAGGACGGGAGGCCGTGGGGGCCTCAAGGGGAGAGGAACAGCTGGCGGGGTACCCCGACTCTCGGGATCCCTCACCAGAGGGAAGCCTGCTCTAGGGGGGGCCAGACAGCAGAGCAGAGAGGCAGGGGCAGGGATAGGCGGTCTGCAGGGGCTACTCATGGCCCCTGGGGGTGGTGCTTCTGGGTCCCAGATCTCTGCCATCCACCCCACCTGACCATCCCTAAACCACCATCTGGGCCGGCTGGCCCTCTGCTCCCACGGACTCACATTGCAGGCCTGAGGCCGAGATGACGGGCAGGAGCCAGCACGCACAGCACACGCTATTCTGTTTGTTTCTGTTTTTTTTGAGACGCCGTCTCATTCTGTGGTCCAGGCTGAAGTGCAGTGGCGCCATCTCGGCTCACTGCAACCCGTGTCTCTGGCATTCAAGTGACTCTCCTGCCTCCGCCTCCCGAGTAGCTGGGATTACAGGCGCCCACCACCACCCCCGGCTAGTTTTTTGTATTTTTAGTAGAGACGGGATTTCCCCATGTGGGCCAGGTGATTTGCCTACCTAGGCCTCCCAAAGGGCTGGGATTACCCGTGTGAGCCGCCACACCTCAGATGGTCTGAAAATGACTCTGGACAATCCTGAACACCATGACTGCCCGGACCACACATTCCCACTGGTGTGGACAGATCCTCCCGCAGACAGGGATGTGTCTCAATCACTCTGCAACCGCGCAGCTGTGGGCACTACTCCTCGTGATGCCCTATCCAGTTCATGCCTCAGCCGCTGGGGCACCCCACAGATGGGGGACCAGCACCCAGTGTAACTCTGGACAGTGGCCTTGGAGGCTGAAGCTCACAGCTGCAACACAGCACAGAAGCGGAGGTGCAGGGGGAGCCCTGACTGCAAGGCCTGGAGGTGGTGCCAGGTGAGGGCCACGGCAGACGCCGACTCGCTGGGCCCTCCAGACACGCACACCACGAGCCGCCAGGACCACGAGGCCCACACTCCACTGTCTCCAGAGTAAAAGACAAACGCAGCCTCGGCCTGTCCCTCTAAGAGTACAACCTCTGATGAAAAAAACACAAGAGCTGGAGGAGAGGAGGCAGATCACGAGGACAAGAGATTGACACCATCATAGCCAACATGGAAAAACCTGGTCTCTACTAAAAACACAAAATTAGCTGGGCATGGTGGCGCGTGCCTATAATCCCAGCTACTCAGGAGGCTGAGGCAGGAGAATTGCCTGAACCCAGGAGGCGGAGGTTGCGGTGAGCCGAGATCGCGCCATTGCACTCCAGCCTGGGTGACAAGAGCAAAACTTCGTCTAAAAAAAAAAAAAAAAAAAATCCCAGGCAGGCCCAGAGCTCAGGCTGATTGACTGTCCCGGGCAGGGCGGCCTTAACTGCCAGTGCAGCTCCTGGCCACCACTGCAGCCCAGGGGCATGAGGCACACCTGCAGCGACTGCCCCAACAGAGGGGGCCACCTGACCCTCTCCTACCACACCCACCCAGAAGAGACGTACCAGGAGTACAGGCCGCCCAGGTCCCAGCAGAACGCAGCCCCCAGCCTCGGCTGACTCTGAGCATGGACGTGAACTGCCAGAGCTTCAGGCAGGTGAGTCAGGCCCTGGGTGGAGACAACCCTGGCAAACTGGAGGCTGGGAGGCCCTTATCTAAGCCCACAGATGAGGAAGCCAAGGTCAGCGCTGGGACCTGGGTGTGTCCGCCCAGGAAACACACCTGGTGCTGGACCTGCCCGAGAGGTGCTGAGCCCAGCACAGTCACTTCCCGGCTTCCAGAGCTTAGGCACCAGTCCTGACCCCTCCAAGCCTCAGCTTCCACCCCTGCGAAATGGGAATTCCCGCTCTGCCTTTTTTTTTTTAAAGGCAGGTCCTTAAAAGCTGAAGAGAAAGTGGGGGGATGGAGGCGCCTGACCATCTCCAGCAGAGTCCAGGAAGGCTCCTTGGAGGCAGTGACCTACAGCCTGGCCTGGAGGGCTGGGGAAGCCAGGGACAGAACACCCAGAAGGAGGAGGACATAATGCTCACTCCAAGGCACGCCAAATAGTCTGCGTGACACTTTTTTTTTTTTGAGACAGGATCTCGCTCTGTCGCCCGGGCTGGAGTGATCTCTACTCACCACAACCTCCGCCTCCTGGGTTCAGGCAATTCTCCTGCCTCAGCCTCCCGAGTACCTGGGATTACAGGCACGCGCCACCATGCCCAGCTAATTTTTTGTATTTTTTTAGTAGAGACGGGGTTTCACCATGTTGACCAGGATGGTCTTGATCTCTTGACCTCGTGATCCACCCGCCTCGGCCTCCCAAAGTGCTGGGATGACAGGCTTGAGCCACCGCGCCCGGCCAGCCCGGCTAATTTTTGTATTTTTAGGAGAGACGGGGTTTCACCACGTTGGCCAGGCTGCTCTTGAATTCCGGACTGATCCACCTGCACTGGCCTCCCAATGTGCTGGGGTCACAGGTGTGAGCCACCGCGTGGACCCTGTTTCTGGCCACCCTATAAGGAGGCCTTCTCTGCATCACAGCAGGGAACCTCGGCCCTCGGGGTAGGGTGTGGGAGAGAACCGGGGGGCCCGTGACAGTAAAACCTTCCAAACCCACACTCTAGGTAACCGTGAGGAATGATGGTCAATTTGGGGATGTGCCGGGGACTGGGAGAATCTCCACCTGATGGTCAATTTGATGGTCAATCTGGGGATGTGCCGGGGACCGGGAGAATCTCCACCTGATGGTCAATCTGGGGATGTGCCGGGGACCGGGAGAATCTCCACCTGATGGTAAATCTGGGGATGTGCCGGGGACTCGGAGAATCTCCACCTGATGGTCAATCTGGGGATGTGCCGGGGACCGGGAGAATCTCCACCTGACGGTCAATCTGGGGATGTGCCGGGGACTCGGAGAATCTCCACCTGATGGTCAATCTGGGGATGTGCCGGGGACTCGGAGAATCTCCACCTTATGGTCAATCTGGGGATGTGCCGGGGACTGGGAGAATCTCCACCTGATGGTCAATTTGGGGATGTGCCGGGGACTCGGAGAATCTCCACCTGATGGTCAATCTGGGGATGTGCCGGGGACCGGGAGAATCTCCACCTGATGGTCAATCTGGGGATGTGCCGGGGACTCGGAGAATCTCCACCTTATGGTCAATCTGGGGATGTGCCGGGGACTGGGAGAATCTCCACCTGATGGTCAATTTGGGGATGTGCCGGGGACTCGGAGAATCTCCACCTGATGGTCAATCTGGGGATGTGCCGGGGACCGGGAGAATCTCCACCTGACGGTCAATCTGGGGATGTGCCGGGGACCGGGAGAATCTCCACCTGATGGTCAATTTGGGGATGTGCCGGGGACTCGGAGAATCTCCACCTGATGGTCAATCTGGGGATGTGCCGGGGATTCGGAGAATCTCCACCTGATGGTCAATCTGGGGATGTGCCGGGGACCGGGAGAATCTCCACCTGATGGTCAATCTGGGGATGTGCCGGGGACTCGGAGAATCTCCACCTGATGGTCAATCTGGGGATGTGCCGGGGACCGGGAGAATCTCCACCTTATGGTCAATCTGGGGATGTGCCGGGGACCGGGAGAATCTCCACCTTATGGTCAATCTGGGGATGTGCCGGGGACTGGGAGAATCTCCACCTGATGGTCAATCTGGGGATGTGCCGGGGACTCGGAGAATCTCCACCTGATGGTCAATCTGGGGATGTGCCGGGGACTCGGAGAATCTCCACCTGACGGTCAATCTGGGGATGTGCCGGGGATTCGGAGAATCTCCACCTGATGGTCAATCTGGGGATGTGCCGGGGACCGGGAGAATCTCCACCTGATGGTCAATCTGGGGATGTGCCGGGGACTGGGAGAATCTCCACCTGATGGTCAATCTGGGGATGTGCCGGGGACCGGGAGAATCTCCACCTGATGGTCAATTTGGGGATGTGCCGGGGACTCGGAGAATCTCCACCTGATGGTCAATCTGGGGATGTGCCGGGGATTCGGAGAATCTCCACCTGATGGTCAATCTGGGGATGTGCCGGGGACCGGGAGAATCTCCACCTGATGGTCAATCTGGGGATGTGCCGGGGACTGGGAGAATCTCCACCTGATGGTCAATCTGGGGATGTGCCGGGGACTCGGAGAATCTCCACCTGATGGTCAATCTGGGGATGTGCCGGGGACTCGGAGAATCTCCACCTGACGGTCAATCTGGGGATGTGCCGGGGATTCGGAGAATCTCCACCTGATGGTCAATCTGGGGATGTGCCGGGGACCGGGAGAATCTCCACCTGATGGTCAATCTGGGGATGTGCCGGGGACTCGGAGAATCTCCACCTGATGGTCAATCTGGGGATGTGCCGGGGACCGGGAGAATCTCCACCTTATGGTCAATCTGGGGATGTGCCGGGGACTGGGAGAATCTCCACCTGATGGTCAATCTGGGGATGTGCCGGGGACTCGGAGAATCTCCACCTGATGGTCAATCTGGGGATGTGCCGGGGACTCGGAGAATCTCCACCTGACGGTCAATCTGGGGATGTGCCGGGGATTCGGAGAATCTCCACCTGATGGTCAATCTGGGGATGTGCCGGGGACCGGGAGAATCTCCACCTGATGGTCAATCTGGGGATGTGCCGGGGACCGGGAGAATCTCCACCTGATGGTCAATTTGGGGATGTGCCGGGGACTCGGAGAATCTCCACCTGATGGTCAATCTGGGGATGTGCCGGGGATTCGGAGAATCTCCACCTGATGGTCAATCTGGGGATGTGCCGGGGACCGGGAGAATCTCCACCTGATGGTCAATCTGGGGATGTGCCGGGGACCGGGAGAATCTCCACCTGATGGTCAATCTGGGGATGTGCCGGGGACTCGGAGAATCTCCACCTGATGGTCAATCTGGGGATGTGCAAAGGACTAGGGGAAGCTCCACCTAAAGGCAAACTCGAGCTGGGGAGGCGGCACGCGAAGGCGGAGGAAACCCGCGAGCTCGCAATCCGAAGGCAGGGGACTGGCGGCCATGACCTGGGGCAGGGCTACCGGAAGCAGCTGGAGCGCACGGGGTCTTCCGCCCGGGCCGTAGGGGCGCGCACGCGCAGAAAGGCGCTGGGCCCGGGGCAACGCCGTCCTGAGGAACCCCCCCACCCCCGCCCCCGCGAGGCTCGCGCGCACGCGCAGCCGCGCCGCCTCCCCACATCGCCCACCCGCCGCCTGAGACGCGCGTGAAGCTGGCCCGAGTTCCGCATTTTCTCCCGACGGACGGCCGGCGCTCCTCACCGCCCAGAAGCCCCCATGTCCACCCCTACTCCCCGCTCCGTGGCGGCCTAAGCCTGGAGAACCCGAGACCTCGGGACCGGGAGCTTACCTGAGGGACGCGGGCGCGAGCGTTGCGCTTCGCCAAGTCTTAGCAACCGGCCTGCCCCGCCTCGTCTCCGCCTGGAGCCGCGGAGCACGACGGGAGCGTAGTTCCAGGGGCGGGGTCGGCGCGAGGCAAAGGTGGGGTCAGGACTGCAATTCCCAGCATGGACTGCGCGCCGCCCCCTCGCCCCGCCTCCCCGCTGGCACTGCGCTCACATGACCTTCCGGGCACGGGGCGGGGAGGGGCGGGGACGCTGGGCTGAGCGAGCTCTGAGTTTACCGGTTCGAATCCCATCAGTCGGCCTGGGAAAACTTTGAACCCCTGGATCTTTGGGAAGTCAGCAGAGTGGGGAGGATGGAGTAGAGGCGGGGGACACGACACCCATCCTCTGAGACCGGCATGGGGCCGGGTTCCAGTTCTGCCTGTTACTGAACTTCGGATCTGGGGACTCGGCCCCGTTCAGGCTTGAGTTTTCCCATCAGTAACACAGGCGAAGGAGGCCTGTTGCATCTCCTGGGCCAAACATGCACAGTTTTGTTCTTTTTCTTTTACTGTTTTTGAAAGAGTCTCACTCTGTCACCCAGATTAGAGTTCAGTTCTCGGCTCAATGCAACGTCCAGTTCCCGGGTTCAAGCGATTTCCAGCTAGTTTTTGTATTTTTAGTAGAGAAGGGGTTTCAAGGCTGGGCGCGGAGGCTCACGCCTGTCATCCCAGCGCTTTGGGAGGCTGAGGCAGGCGGTTTACCTGGGGTCAGGAGTTCAAGACCAGCTTGGCCATCATGGTGAAACTCCATCTTTGTTAAAAAATAAATAAATAGGCCGGGTGCGGTGGCTCACGCCTGTAATCCCAGCACTTTGGGAGGCCGAGGCGGGTGGATCACGAGAGCAAGAGATCGAGACCATCCTGGTCAACATGGTGAAACCCCGTCTCTACTAAAAATACAAAAATTAGCTGGGCATGGTGGCGCGTGCCTGTAATCCCAGCTACTCGGGAGGCTGAGGCAGGAGAATTGCCTGAACCCAGGAGGCGGAGGTTGTGGTGAGCCGAGATCACGCCATTGCACTCCAGCCTGGCTAACAAGAGCGAAACTCTGTCTCAATAATAATAATAATTAATAATAATATAAGTTAGAGAAGGGGTTTCACCAAAACATGCACATTTTATACGCAATTTGTTACTGGTTCCATTTGAAGAAGTTTAACCAAGTGGTTTTCAACAGGAGGGCATTTGTCATCCCCGCCCCACACAAAGGGACAGTGCCTGGTTGTAAACAGCTCAGACTGGGATGCCCCAGGCTTGCCAAACCAGTAAGGAGGAAAAACTGCAGTGAAAAGGAGGTGACTTCATTTTTGGAGTTCGAAATGGGGAAGCAGCCAGCATAGGCTTCCAGAAACCCCTTCAAACTTTAGACTAGGGTGAGGGGCCAACAAAGGGGCACTTGGACGGGTGGGTGTGCAGGAGAGGTGCTGAGTCTAAGCTCTGCGTGCTCATGAATTTTGGTGGCTAAAAGTGTGGGCCGGCCTCATCCTAATAAGGGTGGGGTTACAGATTGCCCTACGGAATTCTCCGGGATTTGGCAAGTGGGTCTCGGTGCTTGGTCTGTCTCAAAGTTACCTCCTGGAACTTTGAAGGAATCACGTAATTAGATACAGGCTTACAGTTAGGTAAACTTGCAGTGTAAGGGAGTTTATGGTGAGAAAGGGGAGGACATGGTGTTTCAAAGAAAGTGCACTTCAAAGCTGGATGCAGGGAGTCAGGCCTGTAATCCCAGCACTGTGGGAGGCCAAGGTGGGTAGATCGCCTCAGGTCAGGAGTTCGAGACCAACCGTGGCGGAGAGGGTGAAACCCAGTCTCTACTAAAAATAGGAATTAACCAGGTGTGTGCTATTTGGGAGGCTGAGGCAGGAGAATCGCTTGAACCTGGGAGACAGAGTTTGCCGTGAGCAGCCATTGCACTCTACCCTGGGCAAGAGCAAAACTCTGTCTCAAAAAAAAAAAAAAAAAAGTGCGTTTCAAGCCAGGTGTGGTACTCACCCCTGTAATCCCAGCACTTTGGGAGGCCGAGAAGAATCATGTGAGGCCAGGAGTTCAAGACCAGCCTGGGCAATGTAGTGAGATCCCATCTCAAAATACAGAAATTAGCCAGCAGTGGTCAGATGCCTGTAGTCCCAGCTACTCCGTGGGCTGAGGCGGGAGGATCGCATGAGCCGGGAGGCGGAGGCTGCACTGAGCCGTGATCGCACCACTTCACTCCAGCCTGGAGACAATGGGAGTGAGACACTGTCTCAGAAAAAACAAAAGAACATTTCAAGGCTATAGTGTAAGACTACCGAGGAAAAACGTGGGCTTCTGAAGTAAGCATCAAGGTCACATCTTGAGACTAGAAAGAAAAGAGAAAAAGGAAAAGTTTTTTGCCTTGTTTTTCTTTTTTTTAAGTAAAGGCGGGGTTTCACCGTGCTGTTCAGGCTGGTCTTGAACTCCCGACCTCAGGTGATCTGCCTGCCTTGGCCTCCAAAGTGCTTGGATTACAGGTGTGAGCCACCGCGCCCGACCAAAGTTTCACAGCGTGTTTCAGGCCAGACTTGGTTATAGGGAGACTTCTGTGGTTGTCAGGGTTGGGGAGGAGCTCCTGGCATGGAGTGGGTGGAGGCCAGGGACGCTGCTCAGCCCCCAGCAGTGCCTAGGACAACCCCACCCCAGAGAACGGTTCCTCCCAAATGTCAGCAGTGCAGAGCGGGAGACCCTGTGTTAATGATTTGGGAAAACAATAACGTTTGCCCTCTGCTCACAGTAGACACCTCAGTAAACTCCCGAAGGGGTAAGCTATGTAAACCAGGGGGACCCCCAGCTCCTGGGACTCTCCTCCTCTCTCCCTCCCCACTCAGGGTGTGGATTTCTTTTTTTTCTTTTTTGTCTTTTGAGACGGAGTTTCGCTCTTGTCACCCAGGCTGGAGTGCAATGGCGCGATCTCGGCTCACCGCAACCTCCGCCTCCTGGGTTCAGGCAATTCTCCTGCCTCAGTCTCCCGAGTAGCTGGGATTACAGGCACGCGCCACCATGCCCGGCTAATTTTTTGTGTTTTTAGTAGAGATGGGGTTTCACCATGTTGGCCAGGATGATCTCGATCTCTTGACCTCGTGATCCACCCGCCTCGGCCTCCCAAAGTGCTGGGATTACAGGAGTGAGCCACCACGCCCGGCCCTCGGGGCATGGATTTCAATGTGTGCCACCTCCTGGGACCTCAGCAGGGTCTCTTGGGGAGGTCCATGGAATCCCCTAATACAGGGGTGATTTTTGCCCCCAGTGGACACCGGGCGATGTCTGGGGACATTTGTGGCTGTCACGACTGGGGGTACTCCCAGCATGCAGTAGGTGGAGTCCAGGGCCACTGCTCAGCTCCGTGCAGTACCTGGGACGGCCCCACCCCAGAGACCAACCCCGCCCCAGTGCCAACTGTGCAGACTCTGGGAAACACTAGTTTAACTCCATTGCTCAAATAAGACGGTCACTTCATGTTTAAGGGAAAATCAGCTGCTGTCTTTCCGTTTCCTGGCCGTGTCCTTGGGTACGTTGCTGCCTGACTCCGGGGAGAACCAAGGAGTTCCCTGCCAAGATCATCAAGCGTCCTCGCTGGTATGGGACGGCCAGTGGAAGACCCTTCTCTTGTGTGTGACCGCTCGTCCCCCAGCTCCTCAGCCATCCAGGACCCGGACTGTGGTGGGGGTGGCCCATGAGTTTTTCCTGGTAGTGTGCTAAGCATTGCCTGGTCTCCCGACATGTTCATGGATAAAACAGCACTCCAGGGACCGGGTGCAGTGGACACACCCATAATCCCAGCACTATGGGAGGCTGAGGCCGGTGGATCACGAGGTCAGGAGTTCAAGACCAGCCTGACCAACACCATCTCTACTAAAAATAGAAAAATTAGCCAGGCATGGTGCTGCACCCCTGTAATCCCAGCTACTCGGGAGGCTGAGGCAGGAGAATCGCTCTCAACTGGGAGGCGGAGGTGGCAGTGAGCCGAGATTGTGCCACTGCACTGCAGCCTGGGGGACAGAGCGAGACTCCATCTCAAAAAAGAGAAAAACAAAACAGCACTCTAGGAACCTGTTTCCCTCTCAGCTAGTTGCTTTTTTTTCTTTTCTAAATAAAAACTCAGACTGCTGCGAGTTTTACTTTTTCTTTATTTAGGTTAAACACACATCTCTCCATCCCTGGATGTGTCATGCAGACCAGCCAGAGCCTCTGCGTTCCTGATTTGTTTAAAAAAAAAAAAAAAAAAAAAAGACAGCCTTTATTTGGTAAGTCATTAAATCCAAAGCCTAGATTTTCTGCTTCTAAAAAAAAATGAATCTAGGCCAGGCGTGATGCCTCATGCCTGGAATTCCAGCGATTTGGGAGGCCGAGGCATGAGGTTTGCTTGAGGCCAGGAGTTTCAGACACACATCACCACCTCTGCAAAAAAAAAAAAAAATAAGGGGTGGGCGCGGTGGCTCACGCCTGTAATCCCAGCACTTAGGGAGGCCGAGGCGGGTGGATCACGAGGTCAAGAGATCGAGACCATCCTGGTCAACATGGTGAAACCCCCATCTCTATTTTTTTTAAAATAAAAATAAAAATAATTTTAAAATATAGATATATACATATATTTTATGTGTGTACAAGTCCTGGCTCCGTGACCTCGGCCAGTGTAGACACTCAGCAAGGCAGGAGCCTCTGCCTGCCTCAGGCCTCTGTGTCCACAAAATAGGAGGCTGTGTTGGAGCTGGAGGGGGCAGTGTGTATAAAATGTATGTATATATATTATATATTTTTATACACACACACACACGTATGTATACACAGTGGCGCGCGCCTGTAGTCCCAGCTACTCAGGAGGCCGAGGCAAGAGGATTGCTTGAGCCCAGGAGTTTGAGGCTGCAGGGAGCGATAATTGCACCACTGCGCTCCAGCCTAGGTGACAGAGCAAGGAAAGCTGGTCTCTGAAAATATTTATACAGCCGGGTGCAGGGACTCACGCCTGTAATCCCAGCACTTTGGGAGGCCGAGGCGGGTGGATCACGAGGTCAAGAGATCGAGACCATCCTGGTCAACACGGTGAAACCCCATCTCTACTAAAGATACAAAAAAATTAGC